GCATGTGTTTCTAACGCATTTATAAGATTATTTCTTGGTTGCTTTGTATGTCCCTCCCCCACAGTGTAACCCCTGCTTTCACTATATTTGATGTCAGTATAACATGTGGAGGAGATGGGGACAAACAAGTCGTTTAAGGATTCAGGTGGACCTGTTGCAACAATGAGAAGTACAAAATGTCATGTCAAAACCAGCTTTACAATGTCCGAGATGGGGGTATGGTTGGGTGGGGGGGAGGGGGGAGGCTGGGAAGGGAGGTGAAGGGTAAACAAAGGAGGAGGCTGCAATGCTTGGTAAGAAATGTATGCATTATCCTGCCCATGTAATTGTAACCCCTCTGTACAGTATGTTCTCAAATAAAATAAAATAAAATTAAAAAAAAAAAAGTTAGTACATTTCCATTTTAAATGAATACAAAAGATATGCCTGTATTAACGTATTTTTGGAAAATTTGTAAAAAAAACTGCTTTGATTAGCTTTATGATAAACTATGTAAGCTGTACCATTTTCCACTCAAAATCAATATTCACTTTTAGACTTCATGATCTATTTCAGACATGTTGACCTTTCCACGGCATTTACTTCTGAACCTGGTGACAAGTAAATTCTGGTGTGGATATGAGTCCATCATCCTGAGATGAAGGTCAAATGGTATTTCTGCAAATGCTAACATATTTGACCTACAGGATCTGATCCATTCTCAGCCTTATTAACTGCTTAACTCTTATTAGGATTTTGACAATTTCTGTATATTAAATGAGAGTAGAATTAATTAATTTGATATGACAGCATTACCATTTTTACAGATTACCAAACATAATAAATGATGGGAAAAACTCATAAAGTATGCACATATGCTTACCATGAGGATAAAATGCTTGAATTTTCTTGCTGTGCTAGGATCAAGACACTGCTTGCAGTACATAGCTAAGAAGAACAGTAATTCCTTCCTTGAAGAACGTGACTGGAGGACTAGCTGATTACTTTATGGGAATGCACCTAAATGCCATAGCATACTCCAATGACACAATAATCCCTCTTCTTCACTTGATTTCAGAATGTAATTCCATCTCAGTGTTCTCTCTGCCTTACCCTGTATCCTCCAAAATTCACTCCCACTTGTGCTCCCCCAGTGCCATTCTTCCTTGTTAAATCTCATACTGATGTCTTATTGTTGTAGGATCTGAATTAGCAACACAGGGCAGGGAGATGGAAAATACGTATTTTATTTTTTAGTATTTTGATGGATATAAGGTAAAATTAAAATATTAAATTGTGATAAAATTTAAGGCCAATAAAAATGAAGATATTTAATAGATATAAATATTGAACTTTAATATATGTATATATATATATAAATTAGGTTTTAATATACCCATACATATTAAAGAAAAATTAACAAGTTAGTTGATATTTAATTATATTAATTTATGTATATGCTCCTCATTAGTGGCACAGAATACCAGTTCAGCACTATTCTCTTCCTAACAAGCACAAACCTTTTCAAAATGCTGTCCTCCAAATTGGGCCTGAAGGTCTTAATTTCCTCTTATGTTTTAATTCTATTTTTATTTTTAATGTCTCTTACTGTTGGTACAGCTAAAAATCGGAGAAGCCACATTTTGAGACATTGAATCTTGGAGTCTTTATTAAAAGGCTGTCGGCTGCTTGGTGGATTCCTGTCTCAAAGACCAGCAGCCAGCAAATAGACTTAACACTGTTAGGAAATTGAGCCTTGAAGGCCAGAGAGGAAAGAAGGAACAAAAACAATACAAAGAAACCAATTCAGCTCCAGTGGAGAACTGAAGTGGGACACCACGGTTTCTTGAGAACTGACAGGAGAGAGGAGGCAGGACAAAAACACGGAGACCAGGATATGGTGTAATTGCGCCTGGGCTGTTCCAGGCTTAAATAGCAGGGTCACAGGAAACTCAAGTCCCAGGCACTGGACTGACAGGGTGAGTAACCTATCATTTAAGTGCCCACCCCTGCCTCCAGGAATTCAGGCATGCCCATCACCTGGGTTGTGGGAGCTACGCCTTCTCCACCCACCATGAAGACAAGATGCAAAACCCTACCATCCACCATATGGCCAAGATGCCCGCCAGACCTGATCTACCTACTTCAGCATTGTCTACATTTAAGCAATCCTCAGAAGGATAGGTTAATAAGCCTTAGACAAGGGATGGTAGAGATCGCTTTCTTCCACATTTCATCAGAATTGAACTCAATTACATGGCTTCACATAGCAAATGAAGCTGGGTCAGCTTTTACACTACCTTCTCAAGTTTCACTTAAATTACAACATCTGTGAAAGTTTAACTTAATTCAATTGTTTGCATCAGTCTAAGCCATAGTACCTGCTCACCATTTTTGATATAACTTTCTTTTTTATATTTTTTTAGTTTTCCTGGGTGTCTGATGAGACAAAAAGAAATGTTTTTTTTAAGACTTATATAGTACTGAGTCCATCATGACAATATTGTTTCTTAAATACACTCTATGCATAAGTCATAGGATATAAAATTACTAAATTCAACTTATAACTTAGAATAACAGGTAAATTGAGACAATCCAGGGCAAGTTTACAGTTTTTAGAAAAGGCTTGGAAGGTCAAGGTTTTCTTATTTCTACTTCTGTGACTGCCTTTAATTATAGCCCCAATTAATTGGTTAGCTTTTGGTTCTTAGTGTTAACAGCTTTATTAATAGAATCTATTTGTAGTTAGCTGTTACACCCACAGATGGTATTACATGGTAACTTTTCCTTTGAATAAAGCATTTGTGGTTTTTAAATGTAATATTGAACAATGACACTTAACAAAGAAAGTGGAATCTATCTATGACCTTGATCTCAGTGCCTCATCATTTTAGCTAAAAGAGATAAGGAGCAGTGCACTATTTTGAGATGTCTAGAAGCATGCTTCTATTAATAAGAAGTGAGCTCGCCATGAAAACCCAGAAAGGAACAACGTCCTTTTTTAAAGGGGAGTTGTCACTATACCAGAAACTTCTCTTGGGGTTTCAAAGGAATGACTAGATTTGAGGCAAGTGTTTTTGGAAAACAAAATCTTTTGTTGGTTTGAAACTGTGAGGCTTGGTTTTGATGTAGAACATAGAGTAATATACTTTTGATAAGTAACATGACTACTAGTAAAGTTAGTGATTTTTCATTTGTTTAGTTCTTAAGAACATCAATGTTATACATAGTCAGAGAAGTTCCTCCAAAAGCAAGAAATAAAGTATATTCCTTACCAATTTCAAGTCCACAGCTTACCATAGAATACAAATGAAGAGAAATGGTAATAGACGTACAGGAGAAAAATATGAACTTTGAATCATATTGAGTGAGGATTTTTGTTTTACGTAGTTACATGTAACTGGCTTGTATATGTGCTATTGTCCAGTAATAGCATAAATAATTTAAATTAGTGCTAGAATACTGTAAAGGTAAATTTTTATGACAGGAGAAAATCATTTGGTTTGTGATATATCCGGTACCTCATTCCTTCATACCCTCACCACAAATTCTATAAACTCCTCTATGATCTCCAATTTAAGATTATAGAGAAGTTTTCTTCGTTTTAAATTAGGATCAAATCCGGACTCCCAATTCATCTCAAGATAGACTAAACTACTGAAGTATAGTGCAGATTCAAATGTCAATTATTATTGTATATGCATTTACTCTTAGATGTAGATAATCTCTTTTATGCTTTGGGGGGAATGGCCTAAGTTTGATATTGCCTTCATGATGTAGCTCCGAACTATTCAGGTATAGTTAGTTATCTATTCAACTTCCTTCCTCAATGTTGTTTTTACAGTGTTTTTTTAAGCCATTTTGATGAATAACTTTATTTTTATAAGCAGAAACTACTAATGATATATTTTCATAATGGAAGTCAGTCACCAGCAATTAAAAACAGTAATCATCCCTAGCTTCAAAAAAGTTTGTACTAATGAGACATTTTTTATATAACTATATATCTCTTTCAGGACTGTGTGCCACCTATAGGTAATGGATTTGCTGAAAATATAATGAAATAAAAATTACTATATGATTTGTTTATAATTGTATGAGAGTAAACAGATTTGGAATGTTGATATTTTATCTATAGAGACCCAGACAAAGACAAACATGAATCTATCTATCTATCTATCTATCTATCTATCTATCTAATTTATCAATCATCCCTTGATAAACAATTGGATTACATTTGTAAATGGAAGATTTGGGAAGATAATTAGAATTAGATGAGATTAAAAAGTACGCACCCATCAATTGATTTGTTGTCTCTTAGAAAATGTAAGCTTGTGGCCTCTCTGTCTCTGTCTCTGTCTATCTGTCTGTCTGTCTGTCTCTCTCTCTCTTTTATACAACAGGGAGATAGCTTTCTGTTAGTGATTAAGAAAGACCAAGCCTGGCATAGGGGAAGCATGATCTTGAACCTTTTTGTCTCAATATAGTAACAGTGAAAATATAAGTACCTGTTTTTCTTAAATCACTCAATTTATGGCATTTGATTTTAGCACTGTCTGACTAATTAAGTCACCTATAAAATATAATACATAATAACATGAAAATATACAGAAAGACTGATTAGATGAAAATGTCATTGCAGAGTACCTTTTAGAAATGGGTATACATTGCCAGATATACCACAGCTGGCTATAATGAGAAACTGAAAGTCAACATCTCCTTATTGAGATCATTAATGAATTAGAATTGGAAGACAAAAGTACAATGTTATATATATTTTTGCCAAGCTTGCTTTTGCTATTTTGAAACAAGCCATGATTTCTTACAGCATTAGTTAAATAGGTATTTCTTGTACTAAATTTTCATGTTCAAAACATTAAATGTTAAAACACATAGTAATTTTGAAATCAATCTGGAATTAGAAGCCAATCTTATCATTAGGTACATATTATATCAATTTGGAGTGTTCACCAAATTATATTACATAGTTCACTTATCTTAAACTTCATGGGAATCAATACCTGTATTCCTCTTGTGTGAATCGTGGGATTTCTCCGGGGTGTAAGACAAGAATTTTCACTGTGGCACTGCTTGACATTACTGGCTCACCATCATCAAAAGCAACAACCACCAACTTAAAGAGTTAGAAAAATCCATGTTAAAGATTAAAACCAGGAAGAAAATGAAAGCATCATTAGATATTTAAAATATTAATCATTGGGCCATTTGCTAGTGGCTACTGTCTATTATCCTAGTTATTCAAGAAGATGACCGCTGAGGATTGCAGTTCAAAGACAAAATGGGCAGGAAAGACCATGAGACTCTTATCACCAAAATCCAGAAATGAAATTGTGGCCAGGAGCCAGGCGCCGGTGGCTCATGCCTGTAATCCTAGCTACTCAGGCTGAGATCTGAGGATGGCGGTTCAAAGCCAGCCCGGGCAGGAAAGTCCATGAGACTCTTTATCTCCAATAAAAAACACTAGAAAACCAGAAGTGGCGCTGTTGCTCAAGTAGAGCGCTCACCTTGAGCTGAAGAGCTGAGGGACAGCGCCCAAGCCCAGAGTTCAAGCCCCAAGACCGACCAACCCCCCCCCATCCAAAAAAAAAGAAAAAGAAATTGTGGCCAGGTGGTAAAGTGCTACCAAAAAAAAAGAAGAAGAAGAAGAAAGAAAAGAGAAGAAGATAAGGAAAATTCCCCATGTCTTTAGTTCAAGCTACTGAACTGACACAAAACAAATAAAAATAAATAAAATATTAATAATTGGGAATTCTAGTCCCAGTAGTGGAAGCAATGCTCATTTTTATTCTACCCAAGAGGTACATCCACATGCAATCTTTACAGAAAATTGCATTTTTATTTGCCTGTACCAAAAACTCAAAAATGTTAGTATCTGCATTGGGAAGGTGGCTCAGTGGTAGAGTGCTTGCCTTGCATTCATGAGGCTCTGGGTTCAATTCCTCTGCACCACATAAGCAAAAAAAGGACCCAGGAGTGGTGCTGTTGTTCAAGTGGTAGAGCTCTAGCCTTGAGCTGGGGAGCTGAGGGACAGTGTCCAGGCCCAGAGTTCAGGCCCCATGACCGGACCCCCCCTCAAAAAAAATGTTAGTAACTCTATTCAACAGGCACACACACACACACACACACACACACACACACACACACACACACACGACTATCAATAAAACCAGGAGCACGATATAACCTTTCTCCAATTTACCAACTATTCCCTGAAACTCTGCTGCTGCTTACAATAAACACATTCCTTTTCTTGCTTCAACACACTTATTTAAAAAAGTGTTAAATTCAGTCACATCAATAGCAAAAACCTAATGAGTTGGTCTATAAGAGGAAATTAATTTTCCAGTGAGTTAATTGTGTACAAGATAACAGAAAACTACTGCTAAACTGTAGAAGATAAAATTGGAAATCTTTACAGTTTAACACATTTGGTTACAGAACCCTTCAAAATACACTATAAAAATAAAGTTCATGCAGTGTAGCAGAAATAATTCAAACAATACAAACTAAAATTTTATCCTGATGATGTGATATCTATATATGTTTGTGACCACAGTAGGTTTATAACAGATGACTATCTTTAATAATGAAATCACACAAAGAACATTTGTACTGTTTATTTTAAGGCATGGCATCATTTTCAAAATTCTTTCTCTGAAATAAATGTTCCTTTTAAATAGTCAGATTACTAATTTAATGTAAGTCAATGTATATATAGAAGCCCATAACCCAGCCTCATCCTGAAAGTCACAGTTAATATCACTGGTTTGATACCAATTAATAAGCAGAATAGTTTTCCCAAACAATGTTAAAGTTATGTGAGGCAGAGTGGTTATTGATATTCAGAAGGTTAAATAAGCAAGGAGTTTCAAAGGCTTTATTCACAGTGACAAAATTAATCCTATGACTGAAAAAGTGGAAATGCTTAGAAAGTAATAAAATAGATTACTTCACATAGTTAATAATCATATCATTAAAAAAGTAGCATTAGTAGAGTTGGTCAGTTTGAGCAATATGTAAATGAGTTGAAAATACTATATATGATATGATCATGTTATTTTAAAACATATTTTATAATTGCATTTATTTATCATAAGAATAAAAATAAAAATAAAAATGATGCTATCTAATCTTTTTTTTTCTTTTTTCTTAACTTTTCACCCTAAGTTTCTGTGAAGAGATTATGCTTTATAATTCAAAAGATTAAAGTGAGAAAATGGGAAGATAAAAATACAATATTGACATTTCTCAAGATAAACTTTCAATCAAAAGTTAAATGTCAAATAAAATAAAGAAAATGACTCACTGACCTTAAAAATAGTCGTGGGTTCTTCATTAAGATTGACTCGAGTTATTACTCTTCCAGAATCTTCTTCTACATCAAAAATACTAGCAGGGTAAGGAAATTGCACATCATCAACTCTGTACCTTACACGACTTGCAGGTAACCCCTAAAATGAAATGACCCATCATTAATCCATTGTACAGAATGAAAACAAATGTATTTTTTTAAAGAGTGGTCTCATAGAAACAAACAAGTTATAAACACATTATTTTTTATTTTTGTATACTCAGGGTTGAAATGTAGCCAAAGATTTAATTCTTATAACTTATGATAAATCAATGTGAATTAAGTAAGTGCTAAATTGCTATAGGCCAATTGCATTATCTATATAACAAAACATTAGCAGTTTGTAATGAATATCTACTATTCCATATTCTTTTATATCATAGGAATCATGTCTACTTTCCAAACACCTAGTGTCTCTCTAACATGTTATTGTTTGTCACAATAATGTTATTTTTACTTATACTTAACTGTATGAGACTCAGAAAATGATGAAGTATAGAAAAATGTGTTTAAGTGCAGGCATGTACATAGAATAAGAAGCAGCAAAAAATTTACTATCTATTCTGTGCTGATTAACATGTTAAATGTTTACATGAATCACTTAAATTAATCCATATAAGATACTTTAAGGTAACAATGATAGAAGAGATGGAAGCAGTAATAATAAACTAATGACAACTAACATTTGTTGAATATTCACTATGTGCAAAAATTGTGATGATGCCTGTGTACTCCATTACCCATTTTGTTTCTAAAGAACCTGATACTCGCAGGAACATGAACAATGCATCTTGGTCTCAAAATCAGGCCTAATATATATTAGAACACCAAATAAAAACCATCCTAAAAGAAGAAAGAGTTGATAATTTTGAAACAGTATCAAAAACCATAATAATGAAAATGGTCTAAATTTTATTGGATATCCTCACATAAATTATGTCTTTGACCGATTTTATTTTGGATTATTTAGAATGCAAATGAGAGTTAGCCCTTTAATATTTTTAGTGCTAAGGATGGTAAATCTCTTACTTCTTAAAACTCAGAGTGTAGACACAAAACTATTATGCCCAAGTTTTCCTTCAACCCTATGCCTCTTACACTATAGTTATTCACAGAGGAAAAAAAATATAATTGGCATTATCATAATGTAGGAAAGATAACATGTCTCAACATGTTTTCTGATATATAATGGGAATATAAGATAGGATTATGGTCCAAGCCAACCCAGGCATTTCTGCCTCAGCTGTGACTAACAAAAAGGGCTGGGAGAAAGATCATGTGGTAGAGTGCCTCCCTAGAAAAGCAGACTTTCAGTTCAAACTCTCATGTTAAAAATAGATGGGAAAAAAAGAAAAATAAAAAAAGTAAAGGGAAAGGGAAAAGCTAGGTGTCAGCATCTTACACCTGTAATCCTTGTTTGAGGCTGGCTGAGGTAGAAAAACTCATTAGAATTTATCTACCAATTAACTAACAAAAGACATGCATTTATTCAATGATATTGTGTCAGCCTATTAAGCAAACCAACCAGGCAAGCACGAGATTTTGAGTTCAAACCAGAGTAACACCAGGAAGAAAAGAGAAAGTAAGTAGATATCCACTTAATTTTATTCTGTAGTCAATGAATTCATTAAAATATGTCTTCCCTGATTCAGGTATTTAGATATTTGGAATAAAAGGAAATTCATATAGTAAATTTACACAATGTAAAATTTCAAATGGAGAGTACACAATTGGAAGCAATACAATTGCTCCAAAGTTAGCAGTCCATCCCATAATTTGCAAAATATCATGACTGAAAAAGGCCTTTAGTTTGTTTAATTTTCTTTATAGCCTATTCTACCGTTGTAGTTATCTTGAGGAGGGAGTCTTTTTAAATATATATTTTATTGTAAAGATACTGTACAGAAGGGTTATAGTTACATGGGCAAGGTAATGAATCCATTTCCTATGGAGGATTGTTATACTCTCCTTTATATTTCTCCTACCATCTCTTTCCTCCCTACCTCCCCAACTCCTCCTTCCCCTCTCCCACCCTCCCACCACCCTGCAAAGTTGTAAAGTTCATTTTCAACATACTGTCTTGTACATCTCATTGTTACAATGGGTCATCCTGTAACCTTATTTCAGCATTTTGTTATGTCCCTTCCCATCCCCAAATTAGATAAATGTATATACAAGATACAGAGCACCAGAATCAAATACAGTGACAACAGAGGTTGTATACCATGGGGGAAGAATTCTATGCCTACATCAGAAAGAATGATACCACCCCATTTGTTAGGAAATGTGAAGACTTGGAAAAAATTAAGTGAAGTAAGTCAGACTCAAAGAAACATAGGTCCCACTGTTTCCCTTATCTGTAATAATTAGTATATGTCTAGGACAAGCGGAAGAGGTCAAAAGCTATGTATGTATGACCATATAAGCTGATGCTAAGCAAAATGAACCCCAAGTTAGGGACACAAGAGGTTTTTATCTTTGTTGCTGTTCTTAATGTACTTATAATGTACAAAATGAGAAGGGAGTCTTAAAGGTCAAAAATTGCAGGAAGAATTTATCAAGATATAAACATTGATTTAATAGGAATGCTGAAAAAATTGTGCACAGTGAGTTTTCTCAGAAGGCAGTGGTGTCTAAGGTGGAATTTCCTATTATTCTTTACCTCAGATTCTTTTGAAGGGTAAATGATGTTGAAGTACTTCTTTAATATTTATGGAAATTGAGGGCATGTGAGAATCAAAGCAAAAGAGCTTTTTAAAATGTCCTAATTTACCATGGAATTTATCACTATAAATTAAGAACAGCCCATCATATGGAGGAGTATGCCTTCAGATATTCAGGTTTTAGAAGTGTGAAAGAGCTGGTTCAGCAATCTTATACTTACCACTATATGTCTATGATATATGTACATATATATGCATACCTAAATTAGATACTGAAAATATTTGCTATATGATAAATATCTGAGGATCTTTTATTTGCCATAAGATAAAAACTAGCTAACCTTGTTATCCATAAATCTCACATATCCATTTCAAACTGATCTCTATATTATCTATGATTAGCTTATTATTCTTTCTGCATTATTTTGATCAACTACTTATCTTTATATGTCTGGAAGAAAATCTTGATTCAGTTTGATTGTGACTTTATTTGGTCTGTGATTTTCATTGCTAGGTGCAATAGTTGTCAATTATATGACTTTAATGTTTTCATGTGTTTCCATTGTCAATCTGGATTGTTTGCATTTTTAATGATGGTAACAGACATCAACTAATCTTCTGCTTTTATTATCTTATAGAATAAAAATTGTGGGGCTGGGAAGGTGGCTCAGTGGTAGAGCGCTTGCCTTGCATGCATGAGGCCCTGGGTTCGATTCCTGAGTACCACAGAAGCAAAAAGAAAAAAAAAGCAGGAAGTGGCGCTGTGGCTCAAGAGGTAAAGTGCTAGCCTTGAGCTGAAGAGCTGAGGGACAGCACCCAGGCCCAGAGTTCAGGCCCCACAACTGGACCCCCCCCAAAAAAAAGAATAAAAATTATATATCAGTGGAGGTAATTTTCACTAATAAGAACCTTTGATTTATGTCACAGTTCTGTTTGTACAATTATTTAACAATTTCATTTTTATATAACAAACTGAGTCTCAAAATTCATTTACCACATTTCATATTTATATGTGATTTTGCATTTTTCTGAATGGTAGGTATTTATTAAACCAGACATAGCTCTAAATCACATTACATACAGGATATTCAAAATAAAGTATGTAATTTAAGCTTAAAAGAGGTGGTTGTGTAAGCCTGTTAGAAAGCCTATTAAATCTCATTTAGTTTTGTTGGTTAACATTTATGATATTAAAATTTTATTTCATGAGGTGTATTCTATCCAAAGGAAAAAAATAGTATTGATACATCTCTTTGGCATTAGTAGGATTTTAATTCATTCCAGTTGAACCATCACCCAGCCCTCTTTTACTCAGTCATTTTTTTCATGTAAGGTCTCTCATTTTTGCTTGGGGCCAGTCTCAGACGTTGACGCCCCTACGTATGGCCTTCCACACAGCTGGGAACACAGACATGAAACAATATGCCCATTTTATTGGTTGTTGTGAGTGTTTGCCTATGCTGGAGTCTTGATCTTTGATCCTCCCAATTTCTGCTTTGGGAGTAGCTGGGATTACAGGCCTGGTTACTTCACTCATCCTACCAGTTAAACAAAACTGCCTGTATACACCTTTCCCTTCATAAGAAGAAAAAAATGCCTCACTGGTCCTGATAAGAAGAGCAGTATTTAATCCTGAAACAATTGTACTGCTGATATTAAGAAGTAATATCAATAATATAGTTCTTCATAACAATGTATGCCTTGTGTCATATGCTATTATATATATCATTATAATGTTACATGATATATTATATATAGCATGTGATGGAAAAAATGATGCTAATTCTTCAAACACACAGATTAGTCTTTTCTAGACATTACATATGCATAGACTTTCTCAGAAAGCCCTTCTTTTGGTATCCATTTTCACCTTAAATTCTAATTATAATCCATTGTCATTTTAAAGACCAAGCCCCAATAGTTTTACCATAGGCTTTCTTTCTAATTAAGTATTTGAGACCAAAGGGATTCAGGCCCCGCTTCATCTCAGTTTTTACAAGCTGACATTCACAGTGAAAGCTATTCTTGATTATTTCCCTATTTAGCTTTGATACCAAGGAAAAGAACCACTGAGGTGTGTATATTCCTCTTCTGGCTACAGGGTTAGAAATCATAATTAGCAACTATGGGTTTTTAAAGCCAGAGTTTCTGTTACATTGCTAGCAATAACCTGCATCAATGCAACATAACAACACAAGCCAAGCCTATACAGGGAGTGGTGAGAAATATATATATATATATATATATATATATATATACATACACACATATATATCTCCACATATATATATACTTGATACATATACATGAGTGTGTATGTTGTATGTATAATAAATATTATATATTGTATGTGTATATACACTATATATGTTTAAAGGCTCTGTGAATAATTCACTACTAAATGATAATTAAAAAAATTAAACTTTCAGAGAAATTGGTCATAATTAGCAAATACACATTAGTGGCATCATGGAATTTTAATGGGTATATATCACAAGGAAGAAACAGTGGCAATATTTTCATGCTCTAAAGAGCAGGAAGTTTACCCTTGAATGACTGAGGTAGCTAGTAATGACACTTGTAAAAACATTACAAGTAATTCCTCACATAGCTTAAATCAACTCTGAAAGGCTAATTCTCAAAGGATTAGAGGACATAAAATACTTCAAAGTTGCAATTTTCTCTTTGTAAATATACCTTCTTTAAAAAATACTGAGTATTTGAGAACATTTTTTAAACCAATTACTATTTAGAACTTTCATGATCTTTTCTGCTTATAAGTCAATATCAAAACCTGAAAAAAGTTCTAAATGTCGAAGTAATTCTCATAGTGTATGTTTATAGGTAAGTAACAAAATTCGTCAAAAATGCCAATATTAAACATGTTCTAATTGCTTCCTTACTTGAACAAGAATCTTACAAATTCCCTAAAATACATTAAATGGGAAGAGTGTGTTATCAATAAGAAGTTAAGCTTTCCCAGTTTCCCTTGGCTTTACCCCTTGGACATGAGTAAAAAGTGAACTTCATTTACTAAAGCCTAATGGTCCATAGTAAATAAAAGATACTGCTATAAAAGATACTGCTATAATAAGCATTAGCCTGTCCACAGGTACAGCTCCAATCTGACAGTGTGACCTGCAGCTTCAATTAAGAATAAAAATATGCAAATGAAAATTACCCTTGCAGGTTTGTTTTGTGAAAATGTGATGTGAGAACTCTCTAGTGAACAGAATAGAAATATTAACACTTTTTAGTACCCCAAACAATCATTGATTCACTGTTCAAATCTTGTGAGAATTGCATAAAGCTACTGCTGTCACAAAAGCAAAACAGAATAAAGAAGTTCTAACAGCTTTAGTTCAGTAAAGGAGAAAAGATACCCTGTGAGATTTTCTTTACTCCCTCTAGAGCATATAGTCTTGCACAACATGGCATTTTATAATTCTTAATTTATATTCAGTAGTAATGCTCTCAATAGCTTTCTGACCAAACCTGGCTTTACCCTCAGAAACTTCAAAATATTTTATTGTCACTTCATGATTTCCATTAAGTGTTTCTCACATAATTTAACAAAAAGAGGCTGCTTTGAGAAAAAAAATGTAACCTCTACAAGTAAATTTTGTCATTTCTCAATAATAATAGTAGTACATAGTGGTTAAAGCTGTCCTACGTATAAATGTGCATCGTCATATTAAATTCTCAGGCTTCAAGTGACCAAAATAAGGTCATCAGACATTAATATTTTTCTAGAATCGTGTATAGCCAAATACCTAAGAATTGGGCATACTGGTCAATAGTGAAGAGTATAGAAATTAGAATTGATTTATACATCCCTTCAACTAATTAAATTTTCCCTTATAGACTACTATGTTGTGGACATAAAGTTAGATACGGTATTTTAAACAGGAATGATTTTCAGTCCATGTTCTTAAAGACTTTACATTGTAGTTTGAAAGGGAGATCCTTAAGTAAAGACAACATGACAGAAGATAGTTTCAGGCCCTGGAATTGGAATTGACATTGGAATCTGGACAGTTTTGAACTAAAAAGCATTTCTTTAAGCAATAAACATTTACAATTGCAGCAGAGTACAAAATGTGCATGGAAACTCCTTAAAATGCATATACTGTATAAAATCGCAAGGAAAAAAATCATAGTACTATAGAACTTATCTTTCAAAATTGTTCTTGAAATTCAGTTTTTATTTTGGATCGGTGTGGGAAAAGACAAATTGTTCAATTTTCTAATGCAAAGGAACTGATTTTCAGAAATTATTCATGAGCTTAATTTTGAATAATAGCTGCCCTGAAAGATAGTTAATGTTTCATGCATAGAAACGGAATCTGAGAGGCATGTACTTAGTAACTGAAATAGACACACTAAAGTATTTTATCTGAATGATTGTACCCACCTTTTTTCCATTGAAAGCCAGGATTAAGTATAAAACATTAAAATGTACTACAGGACTGAAAAGGCAAAACTGAAAATGTCTTCTGAAGAAATAAGACATTTAATTTTCTATCTGTACTAAGACTTTGAGGTCTGCTTGAAGAGACGAACAGCCTCCTTCCTTTTAGTTTCTTATCTATGCTACTGAACTTAACACGATATTAAATTCTGCATTGATAAATATTTCTTAGAAATTAGTATGTTAAAATGGTGTGTTTAGCTGGATGCTGGTGACTCACACCTGTAATCCAAGCTACTCAGGAGGCTGAGTTCTGAGGACTGTGGTTCAACTCCATGAGACTTTTATTTCCAATTAACCACCAGAGAACCTGAAGTGGTGCTGTGGTTCATGTGGTAGAGTACTGTCTTGAGCTGAAGAGCTGAGGGACAGTGCCCAGGCCCAGAGTTCAAGCCCCATAACCAGCAAAAAAAAAAGCTGAGTTGGCTTATATACGTTTTATATTCTGAGTTATAATTTCCAGTTTTAGTTCTGTCTAGTTTATATTGATTGCCAGTGTCCTGAGAGCAAAGTTGGTTTGCACAGTGAGTAGTGTGCAGCTGTGCTCAAACATATATATCATACAAAACTTAAGGCATACAACTGATTTTTATCATATATTTTATTGTCTCACAGATCACTTATAAAAACACACTTAGCAATAATTTAATATTTCCCCTCCATTGGGACATTCAGGTCTATGATATTCTGTCTATCATATTTCTCAACATATGATAAATCAGTTTCAAAGACATTTCAGAACCCATGAGAAATTGAATTTTGTAGTTAAAGGTCATGGACTTCAATGTTAATATTATTACTTTTCAAGACCTTATAGTCACAATAGGCTTTTATGGCTTGTCACAGTGGAACTGAAAAATGTTACAACTGCCGTTCATATTTTTACTAAATAAAGGCATTAGAGAAATCCTATTTATATGATCACTTATGTGATTCAAGGCTTTTAAAGTTTTTCCTTACTTTTCAAAAATGGTTTATTTAATACTTTCATTTATATTTTTCAGAAATTATCAAGCACTGATTTATACCATGAGCTCTGCCACTGTAAAATAATTTAATCTTTAACATTTAGTTTTATGAATATAAAATATTTATAAAGCACTTAGGAGTTTATGGAACACATTTTTATACAAGTATTATAGCTATTATGCTATTTAAAATATAGTAAGAAAGCACCATCAAGGAAAGTTTACATAATTTTGCTATAATAATATTTCAGTTGAAAGCCTTTTGTCTTTATTGGCACTTTGGTATTTCTCAGAAATAGTAAAACTCTGTATGATAAAAGGCTCTATTAAATATATTTATCAAGCATGCTGATGTTTAAATTTATCAGAATAGAAACACCCAGTCTAGGTTTTATCCTTTGTGTGCACTTAGAATTTGCCAACAAGATAAAAGTGTATAAATAAAAAGGAAAACACAGCCGGGCTCCAGTGGCTCACGCCTATAATCCTAGCTACTCAGGAGGCTGAGATCTGAGGATCATGGTTCAAAGCCAGCCCGGCAGGAAATACTGTGAGACTCCTATCTCCAATAAACCACTAGAAAACTGGAAGTGGCGCTGTAGCTCAAATCGTAGAGCGCTTGCCTTGAGCTGAAGAGCTGAGAGACAGGGCCCAAGCCCAGAGTTCAAGCCCATGACCGACAAAAAAAAATAAAAAGGAAAACACTTCAGTATACAGCCTATCCACATTACAGCAAGCTTACACCTTCCTAAATAAAAAGTTCCAAATGGCAATGATTCCAAATATTAACACTTATTTCCACATACATTTATCACTAGTGCTAGATGAGTTGATAAGTAATAAAGCTTGAATTCTAATTTACTCCAAAATGCCAAAATTTAGTCATAGTTATTTGAAATACAGCCTGTATCTGTGCATGCAATGTACAAGAAAATTTAGTCATAGTTATTTGAAATACAGCCTGTATCTGTGCATGCAATGAACAAGAGAACAGAGATAGACAAGAATACAACTCTCAGGTGCCACCACTGCTATGTAGACCATACGGTCATGTCATCTATGAGGGGTTTTCCTTATTTCACCCAGAATATTTACCAATGCCTTGTACTTACAGGAGGGTCTGCGTCTTCAGCATAGACTGTGGTGATAGGGGTACCCTTGACTGCATCTGGAGCCACCATGCCCTTGTAGATACGTTTACTAAACACAGGAGGGTAATCATTCATATCCTGCAAAACACAATTAAGAATCAGGTGCTTCAGTTGTAACTAGGTGAAGGACAAAGTGATTGGCTTGACTCTGCCCGTTCATATCACACAACCCATTTGCCACTGTCAGCCTTCTGTCCTCCCAATTCCATTACGGTCACTTCAGTCAGGCACCCAGAGGAAAATTGCTAGAGTTCCTATACAATATTAATGTGTGTGATACCAATCGAAGGGCATTCCACTGCAGTAAACAGTTATCAGCCCTAAATATACCTTTTAGAGGCCTGAAACTTTTCCAAAGCACTTTTAAAGTATGATGGAACATTCTAAATTGGGAACATCAAAACAAAAATCTAACTTCTACCAAAAAAATGAGAAACTACATTACAGAAGTGAAAATTATTTTTTAAAGTATTTTGTTGTTGATCTCAAAAATGGTGTGAATATGTTTCTGTAGGAATTTCAAGGTATTTTCTATGCTAATATCTTCTAGGACAAATATTTTCTATCTATTATTAGATAAGTATTAGAACATTTCAATGCAAACAGACTTATCGTTGAGTTTTCCTCATTTATGTAAAATAATAAAAGGAAGTTTTTTTTCAGCACATCGAAAGATGGAATTTAGCATTCCATCTTCCTGCAGATAGAAGAACAATACTTCATTTATGGGTATTTTAAAGCAGCTTTTTTATTTATATGTGTGTCATTTTAATTTCACAGCTTGAAGATGTATGCACATTTCTATGTATGTTGTCTTATATATTAGGTAATACTTGTTATGGGTCTTTCAGTTTCAAAATCAAATTCTAGGAATTGGGGGTGGGTTAGTGACACACAAAACGATGTCCCAGTTTTCATGTGCCTTAACTTCTGCTAACTACTAGAGAGCATGACTCACAAATTCACTGGTAACTCTGTATAAATTAACCTAGTATGTGGTAGAACCAAAACAAAGAAGTAACTTCTGGAAAACAAGACCATATTTTCTGAGCCACCTTATCACTTATAAAGAATAATATGTTGTTTTCTCAATAAATTATGCTCACTAAAGTTTCAGGTTTTGAAGTCAATACATTTAGACAAAAACTCAAATGTTTTAATTATAAAAATTCTCCCCTCCAAATCACTTCCTTTTCTTCTTATTTTTCAGGCACACCCCTCTGTACAGTATGTTCACAAATAAAATAAAATTAAATTAAAAAAAATTTTTAATGTTTGGGGCTGGGAAGTTGGCTGAGTGGTAGAGTGCTTGCCTCATATGCATGAGGCCCTGGTTCAATTTCTCAGCACCATATAAGCAGAAAAAAGCCAGAAGTGGTGCTGTGGTTCAAGTGGTAGGGTACTAGTCTTGAGCTGAAGAGTGGAGGGATAGTGCCCAGGCCCAGAGGTCAATCCCCACTACTAAAAAGAAGAAGAAAAAATGTTTATTTGAATGGGGAGATATTTATCAATAATTAGATGAATCATGCAGTACCAGCACACTGAATTTAAATTAATCTTTCCTTTGTATTATATAGAAAATTAATTTGCATAGATCACATTATAAGAGCTAAAACAATAATGAGTATTTTGTAAAAGTTTATGCCCTTTCAAATATATTTAGGATATAAAAGAGAAATCAGACGGATAAAATCTGTAACTAATCCATATATAACAAAAGTCTGATTCTAGATTAAGTGAATTCCTAAATTCAAAATAAAATAATCTAGCAAAATTATGCAAGAAATAAACAATACATTAATGTATGTAGATAGTATATAATCACATGGAAATGTGTTCAACATTGCTGTTCATTAGTGAAACATAAAAAGGCTAAAAGAGGTTATTTTGGGTTTTTTTTTTTGCTTTTTTTCACTTCTTTTCCTTATTTGCTATTAAAAACAAAATATTTTATTTTGACAGAAACAGTAATTTTTATACAAGTTAAATTAAAATGAGAACATTATGTTTTTTTTTTTTTTGTATAGAGAAGGTCTGATTAGTTATTGGTCAATCTGTAACATATTACAGGAAGGGATAGGAGAAACACTAGCACTCCTTGGCACAGGTCAGAACTTCCTAAGAAAAGATATAGAAACACAAGTTAAAGAAAGGCTGGATAAAAGGGCTTCCATCAAACTGCAGAGTTTCTACAGGACAAAGGACATAGCTACCAAGATAAATAGAAAGCCCACAGAAGGGGAGAATATTTATAATAGCTTTGTATCAAACAAGGATGTCCTACCTAAAATACACTTAGAGCTCAACAAATTAAGCCCTCCAAAAACAAATCCACAAAGAACAAGAACCCCCTTCATAAATGGGCTAATGATTTAGAGAGACTGCTCTGAAGAAGAAATAAGAATGGCCAATAGACACATGAAGCAATGTTCCACATCACTGGCCATAAAAGAAACGCAAGTCCACCTCATACCAATTAGAATGGTCATTATCAAGAAAGCAAATAATTAGAGATTCTGGCTGGGATGTGGGCATAAGGGAATGCTACTACACTGTTGGTAGGAACATGTACTTGTTCAATCACTCTGGAAAGCTGTATGGAGGTTCTTCAAAGACATAGAGCTTCCTTATGACCCAGCATTTCCACACCTAGGCATTTACCCAAATGACAACAAGTCAACCCTCATTAATGCTACCAACACAACTGTGATCATTGCTTACCATAGCTAAGATATGCCCCAGTGTATGAATGGATCAAGAAAACATATACATAATGGAACTCTATGCTTCCATCAGAAAGAATATCATTGTTCAATTTATAAGAAAATAGAAAGATTTTGACAAAAATTATTTTAAGCAAAGTAAACCAGATCCAAAGAAACATAGGTTGCATTTATAATAATTTATAATAATTAGAATAAGTCTAGGATATTCTTAGGAGATGGTCATAATTGCTCAATAGCTATATGCACATGATCATATAAAATGATGCTTATGGAAATGAACTCCAACAAATGAAAACAAAGGAAAAAATAACTTCTAACAATTCAATAAAAAAATCTCTTGTTTCCAAAAAAGAAATAGGTTCTAACAATATAATAAAAAATTCTCTTCTTTCGTTTTCGTTTGGTTTATTCACTGATGTCACTTTTTTTATTTCTATATCTTTTGCCTTGTATATTAGTTTATCTGATTTGGGGAAGGAACTGGGAATCACAGAAATGGTGAGACAATGGTTGAATCACTTCAACAGTCAAGGTGAACCAATTCAACAGTGATACTCCCTAGACACTACGTTGGAAATGAACTTTTACAACTTATGGGCATGGGGGTCAGGAGAGAAAGAAGTAGGAGAAAATGAGAGAGGGAGTAACTGTTCAAAAAGAATTGTATTCATTACCTTACTTATGTAACTGTAACCCCTCTTTACAATAAAATTTAAATTAAAAAATAAATGAATGCATGAATAAATTATGAAGGGTAGAATCTGAAAAGAAAATGAGCTAAGGCTGTTAAGATATCTATAATGAGACTGTGTAGGGTATTGATTGGGAGGATATAGGCAGGGAATAAAAAGTGTTTGCATACATATTTCTCCAATACTTTCAAGAGTATCAATTAATTTAATCAGTGAATTTTATAACTAAAAATGTGAAAATCTTTTGAATACTGAGATTGTAACTTTTAGATATTAATAGAAATCCTAACTCTCAACATGTTTTTTTTTTCCGGAATTTACAAATAAACTCAACGTGTTTCTGGAATGGTTTTCTTCTTGCACTCATAGAAAACTTTACAGCTTGAATTCTAAAAGATACTTTCTCTTTGTTTTCTTTCATTTTTCTCTTTTGTAAAATCTGATGCTTCCTGATGCAACTGCAATGTAAGTGAATATATGCTACATACACACGTGTGTGTGTATGTGTGTGTGTATTGTGCACACATACTCATGTGAGGTACTAGAACTTGAACTCAGGGATTATGCTCATCCTTGGCTTTGGCTTTTTTGTTCAAGGCTGTTACTCTAATACTTGAGCCACAGCTTCCCTTCTGACTTTTTGCTGGTTAATTGAAGATAAAGAATCTCAAAGTCTTTTCTTCTAGGGCTGCCTTTGAACTGTAATCCTAGAACTAAGCCTCGTGATTAGCTAGGACTACAAACCTGAGCCACCAGAGCCAAGCTAGTTGTTTGTAATCTGCTTTGCTAAGAAAGTATTCACTAGACACACTGAAGTGAATGTAAAGTGCACATTTTTAAATAATCTGTCCTCAGAAACTGATTACCCACAAACCTTAGGCTATAAATACATGAACATTATTAAAGGATTTGTTCTTCTACTTTTGATTTTGTTTGCCATTGCAAGAATGGGGATAAAACAGTGATGGTATATTATGTTGTAGCAGCATTTCTTTACATGTCACACTGTACATATTTGGGAGTATAATCTTTTAATTGTGGTATATTCAGAAAAGAATAGCTTTTCCACAATGCATTATTTTAGATGAGGAAATTTTTTTGAAATGCAATGCCAACGAACAATCAATAGTTCATTATATTTTTGCTTCAGGGACTTCTAAAGAAAAAAATATAAATCTGTTTCTTGTATAAATGTCTTATTATGCAATAAATTAAGGAAAAACTCAATTTCTAAACCATGTGCTTCTCTGTAGCTTACTATTCCACTAGAGGGAAGCATTGGCAAAAAGATACTTCTTGTAATCTTACAGTTTGCTTTCTGTGGTTATAATTGTTGATCTAAACACAAATTAGTTTTAGTTTTCAACAATGAACTCTCAATGTTACAATGTTACAATGTTGTCAACTAGCGCAAAACAAGGTATTTCATAATACTTCTTTTTTTTTAACCAGTAAAGCTTGTCACTTTTTTTTTCCCATATATCCAGAAAAGAAAAGTGATCTTGAGGGTACAGTTAGAATTAGCTAGCTGGAAGAAAAGGTATGTTTCATTTATTTGTTTCTTAAACTGAAGTTCAAAATAATCACAGAAAACATTTCTACTTTAGCATGGTTAAAATAATTTTCAAAAAAAAATTTACAAGCAATTGAAGAAGACAGAAACCAGTTGGTAAATCTGCAAGAGAAAAACAAGTTAAATTTTCCACAAAAAATAGGAGATTTAGAAATGAGTTTGAAAGTACAGGTAAAAAGAATTTTATGTAAGAGCATTTTCCTTGATAAAAAAGTGTTAAGTTGTTATAGGTTGCATCTCTTTTTTAAAAGTATTTTAAAATAAAACTAAGATGATTTTCTTTGTTGCTTTTTATGTCCCTCCCCCACGGTATAAACCATGCTTTCACTGTATTTGATGTTGATATAATTTGTGGAGGGGAAAGGAAGAAACAAATAGTTTAAATAGGGCACAGGTGGACCCATTGAAACAATGAGATGTACAAGTCGTTATGTCGAAAAACGAACTCTACAACTTTGGCAGGGAGTAGGGGTTTTGGGAGGGGGGGAAGGATGGGAAGGGGAAACAAAGGAGGAGGCAACAATGCTTGATAAGAAATGTACTCATTACCTTGCTCATGTAATTGTAACCCCTCTGTACAGTATTTTCATAATAAAAAATTATAAAAAAAACTAATGTGAGCTCTAATTTTCTTAAATTCTTATGTATGCTCTATGAAGAACCACAGTGTAAGGTTGTGGGTGATTTATACCTGATACATCTGCAGAGTTAGGCTACTCTAAGATATGCCCTTGAAGCCTATTTGACCATACTGCCCTCATAATGTCTAGGAGCTGACATAAGTCCCTTAATGTCTAGGAGCTGATACTTTTTCTTATTGGGCAGACTACTCTATTGGTTCTTCAGCCTGTGGCCAGTCAGCTCTTCTAATTTTTTGCATTCCCCATCAAGTTTTGAATAAATTTGATAGACAAGGCAATAAATACTTGTTCTTTTCCTATACAAAAGAAATTGCTTTTGTTCATTTTCAAAGTGAGATTTTCCACATGCTTTCCCTGTGGTGATTGTTTTGGGTACAAATATCTCCTTAGAAAATACCATGCAATTACATTATCAGCAAAACAGCTTGTCAGTACTGTGAAGTAAGCAAACCAATAGCAGAAAATTTGCAAGCTGAGGGAAGCTCTACTTTAGTGGAAAAATGAGATTTGTATGCTAACCTTTCAAAATAATGATGATATTTGTAGGTTGTTCAATAATATATAATAGAATTTTACAATTTTATTCATGTATATTAGCAAGAAACATCAGGATAAAGGAAAACAAGTGAGAGTTTGAATTTGGGAAATGCTCCTGAATATTTATTATGCTATTACTAATTGTAAAAGCAATGTAAATTGATTGTCTATATGTGAATTAAATACATTAAGCTTTGTTTAAAATGTACAATATTTTAAAATAACTATTTTACTTTAGAATATAAAGAAATTTCATCAAGTTGATAGTTCCAGCTAGAAAATAAAGATTATTTAGCTGCTTATTTTTCAGTCACGTATTTAGATTCATTTTAAATCCACTGCTCTCTTCCATCAAAACAATCCAGGCAAATCAAGACAAACTGATTCCAGACTAGCTGCCTCAGGTTCTAGCAATTATTCTCATACTCCTGAGAAACAAAGTTAGGCTATTTCTTTATCTAATTTTGATTCTGGGGGGACTAGAAAATCTTAAATCTCAATTCATTTCTTTTTTGCCCTGAACCATCAAAAATGATTCATCTTTCTAATTTTAATATTTAGGTGTCCTATTCTATCAAAACTATTTGGTCTGGAAAGGACAGATAATGCTGTTACCCTCTAATTTCCATTGAGTTCAGAAGATATTTACTATCACTGATCCATAAATATCCCTCCTACCTTAGCCTTTCCCATCTGTCTTTCATGGCAGAGTCATAACCAGCAATATTATTATGTTGTATGGAAATTTTTTGTGAACATATTTCTAAATACCTAAATTGTATAGCACAACAATATGCTAAAATAGCATTTTTGAAACATTACTTGACTTTTCCCATAGCTATATATGAGATGAGCCAGAATTGAATGTTAGTTTTCATGTTAACTAATTTACTGTTAATTAAATTAAATTAATTTTAATTTTAATTTAATTTTAGTGCTATCTGTCTCTGAGGATATATGTATATATATATATATATATATATATATATATATAATATCTTTTAAAAATAAATTGAAGCTGGCCACCAGTGTTTCATGCTTGTAAATCTAGTTACTAGTTTCATGCTAGTAAATCTGAGATCTGAGGATCATGGTTCAAAACCAGACTGGGCAGAAAAGTCCTTGATTCTCTTATCTCCAATAAACTACTTAAAAAAAAAAAAGACCGACGGTATAGCTCAAGTGGTAGAACACTATCTTTGAACAAAACAAATTTAAGAGACAGAGCCTAGACACTGGCTTCCAGCCCCAGGAGTGGAACAAGACACAAACACACACAGACACATATAAACAAGCAAACAAACAAATAAATGAACTATAAATTTATATCGCAGACCCTGTAGAATTTGGACTAAATTGTGTACTATTCCAGTTCTGATGGAAGTCATAGAGCTTATGAGAATAACAAAGAGCCACTCCATAAATGCATGTTTAGTGTCATTCAAATTCATCTTTTATAGTTAAATCATAATTATTTTGCCAGTCTTAAATATTTCACCTTAAAAAATGATATCACAGTCTGTACCCCTATGTTACTATGAAATACTGCAAAAAGGTATGTATGTGTTAGAAGCAGAAGTTACACATAGAGAGAAGAAATAGACAATGATATTTCTTACCTTTATAATCACTGTGACAGTGGCAATACCAGGTGGCATTGTTCCATAAATATCAAATGCTTCCACAAGAAAGGTGATTGTTGCTTCCTGGTCTGGAAATGCCTCATAATCCAAACTCCTTAACAGAGACAGTTCTCCTGTAAATGGATGCAGTGCAAACATATGCTTCACTTCAGGGCTTCTTATCCTATAAGACACATTTGCTCCAAGGTCAACATCTTTGGCCTGAAAAAGGTTAAGTAAAGGAGTAATGATATCAACGGCATTACCAAAATAGAAGAATTCAAGACTGATATACAGTATGCCCTGTGTAAATTTATTGATGGCCAAAAGATACATATATATGTGTTTATATACACATATTATAAATTTTATTACCAGGAAAATGCAAAGGGAAAGGGGGAAGAGCTGGAGAAAGAAGATAAAAACAGGTTTTCCCATTATTAGACCTACATTACACAAATTAAATAAATCACACTACAAGAAAGAAATATGTCCTAAGTTTTTTGTTTGTTTTCTACTGATTTAATAATAATGAGAATAGTTTAAATGAAAGTAATTGAGTGATTTCCATAAACATAATACTGTTGAAGGTTATTAAGAAATGTAAAAGATTATTTTTACAAAGATTTTGCAACACCTTCATAGAGATTACACCCTCTGCATTTAATACCTACTGAGTAATTGTTATGTACAAAGAACTGTGGAGAGAACCATGATGAATTAATACACAATTTACTCCCTGTAGCTTATGGCCTCAAAGAAGAAACCAAATCCAAATATGAAAATAAAATGAAAACAGTGACAAGTCATTTGAAAAACACTATGAATTAGGATCTAGATGGAAAAAAAATAGGTTTTTAAAATAAAAGCTCAATAGCAATTCCAGGAGTACAGGTGGGGATAAGCATCTGAAGGGGAGGAAGAAAAAGGAAGCAAGAACAAAAAGAACAACAACAAAAAAAAAGAAAATCAAACAAACAGAATATGAGAATTGACTGAATTCATCCATTAATATAAACACTTTAAGGTTCAGTTTTGTTCTCTTCAAACAATCATTAACATCATGACTAGAAAGGTACCATTAAAATATTCAATTTAGGGCTGGGAAGGTGGCTCAGTGGTAGAGCGCTTGCCTTGCATGCCTGAGGCCCTGGGTTCGATTCCTCAGCACCACATAAGCAAAAAGAAAAAAGCTGGAAGTGGCGCTGTGGCTCAAGTGGTAGAGCGCTAGCCTTGAACTGAAGAACTGAGGGACAGCACCCAGGCCCAGAGTTCAGGCTCCACAACTGGACACCTCCCCCCCCCAAAAATATTCAATTTATTATTCTATGTTTCCTTTTCAAATTGTCTTGTGTTATATTCCACTTTTTGTCACTCACATGTTAGTAAATTCCTGTTGATTGTGGCAAAATAACTAAAATAATCAAGTTATAAAGAGGAAATGTTTAGTTTGGTCCTATTTAAATATGCAGTCATTTGACCCTGTTATTTTGAGCTGAAGGTGACCTAATACCTCAAGAATGGAAACACATGTCAAAGACTTACCACCTCATGGTAGCTGAGAAACTATCAAAAGAGACAGGATGGTTTGGGTTTCCAAGGCCTGTTTCAAGGACCTAACTTCTTTCCCTTATTTCTTTCTCTAAGATGAAGTCTTGAATACATAGGCCATAAGGGAAAAATCAAAATCCAATTTATATTAACATGAATTTCTTTATATATGAAAACAAAACTCTGCTGTTCTGGACTTTCAGCTCTCCAAGGCTCATCCTGCTCCTCCATGATTTTTTTTTTTGGTCAAGGTGATGTTCAGAAGAGTTAAAGTTACATAAGTAAGGTAATAAATACATTTCTTGTCAAACTTGTTAGCCCTTCCCTCATTTTTATTCTACTTTCCCTCTCCTCACCCCCCCCCCCAGTTGTAAAGATCATTTCTAACATATTGCCTTGTGTATATCGCTGTTGCATTGGTTCTTTGTCTCACCATTCTGTTGTTTCCCTTCCCTTCCCTAATTCACATACACATAAATACAATACCGGGATACCAAAGTCAAATACAGTGACCACAGGGGAGATACCATAACGGGTGGAACATACAAAAGAAACAAAAAAAATCACATAGTACATGAAAAACAACAACAACAAAGAAAAACCACTTGTGGCCATATCTTGGAGTTCATTCTGTTTATTGTCGTCTTATATGGTCATATGTGCATAGCTATTGAGCTATTCACAATGGTTGTTTTGTTTTTGTTTTATGTTGCCTTAAATAATATTTTGACCTTTATTACTTAGTAACTATGAAATGACCCTCAGCTCATAATTTTAAAATAACTTTCTTCTGCAAATGATCTTCATTCTCAGGATTCTATTAAGGACTTTCATGTTAGTTTCTAGTCTACTAATCTGCTTACTAAACCAGATTAAGAACATTGGAGTCAAGAAGTCTGTTTCTGGCTCTCTAAAGTTAGCACATAACTGGTGTTCAGTTAGATACCAAAGAAATATGCTTGATGAATGGATGTATGGATGAAAAATAAATAGAGTAGTACATACAGAAATAATCTTTTCCATGATCAACATATGACTTATTTTGATATATTGATGCTTGTTGCTAGAGTAAGTATTAGATGGGTTGAATGATGGAAGGACTAGAGATTCTTGAAAGCCATGATAATGAAATTCAAGTTATGCTCTGCAGATGGAGGATAGAGTTATTTTTCTAAATTATACCTCATAGACTTTCTGTATCAGAAGTAAATGGACTATTACTTCAAAATGCAAATTTCTTCCATCTGAGCTACTGTATGAAACTGTTCCGTTTCCAGTAATATTATAGTTGGCAAATGAGAAAGTATCGTGTAGATGGAAATACAATTAAAAAGGAGATTGATAGCCCTGAAAGATGCTTGATATGCATTGAATGTGGAAAAAATGATAAGGTAATGAGAATTCTAACTGTAAATTATAGGGGTGACATATTATGCACGTAAAATACATATATAGAAAACTTTAAAATGAAATATACATACACACATACACACATACACACATACACAAGCAAACAAATGATTATGATCTTCCGGGAGCACAAAAATAAGGGTAAAAAGTATATTGAAACACTGAAACAAATACATGGAAGGTTGGTGTGGTTTAGCTTGTAAGTTTTCCCTTTCAATTATGGAGGAGGCAGAGGAAAAGATCACAGTTTGAGAATGGCTCTGGGAAGAGTTAAGATTCTATTTTAAAAATAATTAAAAGCAAAAAAAGAGTCGGGGATAGGGATGTAGTTCAAGTATCACAAGGCCCTGAGCAAAACCCAGAATTACCAATAACTTTTAATCCATTGGAGATTTTTTTTCTCTATTGCTTATAGTATTACCACATCATAAGACCTACTGCATTGGGTGCTCTTTTTTTATACAAATCCACATTTTCTCTTCCAATTTTATGGGATCTCCCTGAAGAAAGATTGTCACATAAAATACAGTGTGCAGTGTATGAGGCATACTTACACTAACATTTCCTCTTTATTAATCTGAAATTACATTTTTACTGGCTATATGGTGCTAGATTCATTTTTTTCTTGCCAAATTTAGTAACCATCTTCTACCTACCATCTTACAATGTATTATGCATGCAATTCTTGCTTTATCTACATACCTCTATTTGAAGGAATTTGGTTCCAGCTGGCAGATTCTCTTCAACAACAACAGTATATGTTGTGTTGGTGAACACTGGGCTGTTATCATCAATATCCACAACCTTGATCGCCAGTGTTAGAGTTGAGTGGCGAGGATGTACCGCTCCATCAGTGGCTACAACAACAAGTTCATAGTAATCTCTCACTTCTCGGTTAAGTTTTACTGCTGTGTAGATGCTGCCATTGGATGTGATGCGAAAAAGATTATTGAAGTTACCCAAACTGTAGTACACTTGGCCATTTATTCCAGCATCAGGGTCAGTTGCCTAAAAGAAATGAAAAACACAAGAATTTATATTATTATTTTCTGGTAGCCCATTGACAAATTATGACATTTTCTAACAAAATAATCTTTGTTTTCCTCTAGAGGAAAATTTAAAAGGTAATGAAGATGTAGTGTACAATCTAAGGCCTGAAAGAAATGTTCCACAATTTACTTAAAATACTCATGACTTATAGTTGGTAATATTGTTAAGGATGCTGTAATATGATTAAAAACTACATAAAATAGTAAATTTTTCATGTATTGTCCTTTCAGTAATGGATTTTTTAATATTAAAGAAAAAAGCCATCTAGAGTTTAAATAATGCAATATAATTTACTGAGTAAGAATTTAACACATGGTTTTCACTCGAATATTTACAAATTCATTTTCATATTTAAGTAAGCTCAATTTCTATATATTATTTAATTGTCATGATATTCTTAGTGAGTAAATATTATTGGGCCCTTTTTTAAAAGGACAAAATGTGGTATATGGGGTTTTACTTGCCTAGCTTTATACACAAAATCAAGACTACAATGACATAGTTTCTAGTGCAGGACTATATATGAACAAGAAAAGGGTTTCTGCTCTTATTCAATGAGTATGTGAATTCTTAAACATGGCAATGTATCATGAGAAATATTTAAAATGGAGTTTAATTGAAAAGAAAGAATTCAAATCATCTGCATGTTCAGATAATACAATCTTATTCCTAAGGCTCTGAAGATTCGTCACTTACCTTTTACACTGAATATATTGCCAATATATCGGCACAAAGTCAACATAAAAAAATCAGTAGCTTTTGTGTATACTGATGATTAACGGGCTTCAAAAGAAAAGTTCAATTCACAATAGCCTCGAAACATAGTTAGAAATGGAATTGGAGATAAATCAAGTAAGTAAAGTTCTCAACAATAACTATACAACTTTGAAGAATAACTTGAAGGAATACGAGAAGATGACAAAAAAGTCTATGCATGGCAGAATTAATTTTATGAAAATTACTACATGCTGAAAGCAATTGATAAATTCAACTCAATTCTGCATCAATATCCCACTACCATTACTTCCAAAAATAGAAAATCAGTCCTAATATTTGTATGGGAGCATGAAAAACCCCAAATATTTGAAGCCATCTAGACATTTTAAAAAAAGCAATACTGGTGTGAACATAATGCCAGACTTCAAACTATATTACGAAGCCATAGTAATAAAATAACACATAAAGAAACATAAAAACAAATGCTACAAAATAAAAGACCCCAAAATAAATGTTTTTAACATGCAGCTAAAGACATCTGATTGATAAAGGCACCAAAAAAAATGTACATTGGAAAAAATCGCATCCTCTTCTACAAACAGTGCTGGCAAAATGGAATATCCATTTCTATCTCTCATTTTATATTAATAGCAATTCAAAGTGGATCAAAGATTTCAACAAAAGACTTGAATTTTGATATTGCTATATCAAGCTTATGTTGACAATTTAGGATAATATTCTCAGATCGTGATCATTAACTTTAGTCATATAGAGCGAATGTGTATTTTATGATGATATGATTTGTTGAGAAAAACCTTCCAAACAGATGTTCAACAGGTAGGCTGAAAGCAAATGTTTTCTTGGGAATGTGCATCAATAGGGATCCTTAATTTCTTTGAAATCCATTTATTTTAGTTAAAATGTAAAGAATATGTCAGATAGCATGCACACAGACAAACACATTTATATTTTTTAGTTTCAGTTACAACCATTGACCTCACTAGCTCTCTAACCATTAATGGAAGTGAAACTTGTAGAACATATGACTGTATATTCTTCAGGGAATATTGAAATTACATATAAATTTGTATGTTTGGCAAGGGGGCTAAGATGTTTGTATAAAGTAAGGTTAATTTGTTCCCTTCCCATTTCTAATTAATAGAAGAATAAAAATATTTTTATAACTTTAGCAACATGTGCTAAGCTCAGCAAGATAGTTTTACATATTTATGATTATAGATAAATATGTGTTAGACAAGTGAACATTACTTAGGGTTTCTTTTTATCAGCAGTATTGTGAAGAATTTGCATCAAAGTTTAATATCTAGTCAAACATTTCAATATGTGATGCTGTAATAAAACTATTAATCTTCTTACAAATCAATTAAAAGTTAATTAAAGTTGTTAATAAGAAATATATTGCCAGGCGCTGGTGGCTCACACCTATAATTCTAGCTATGCAGGAGGCTGAGATCTGAGGAAGCTGAGATCTGAGGATCACGGTTCAAAGCCAGCCCAGGCAGGAAAGTCCATGAGACACTTATCTCCAATAAACCACCAGAAAACCAGAAGGGGTGCTGTGGCTCAAGAGGTACAGAGATTGCCTTACCCTGAAGAGCTGAGGGACAGTACCCAGGCCCAGAGTTTAAACCCCATGACTGACAAAAAAAAAAAAAAAAGTACACTTGTCTTTTCTTCTTATACTACAAAAAAAGTAATAAATGGTAGTGAATGCAACTTTATAATCATCTATCCATGGTTAGCACTTTTTACGTAATATTTACCTTCGTTCCAAAGCCTGAATTGTTTCTATTTGTGAATGCACATTCCTGGGAAATTAGCTGCTAGTTTATTGTCAAGTAAAGATCATTGAAAAGATAATATAAACCACTTTGGAAAGTAGTATTGAGGTTCCTCAAAAGATTCCACATAGAGCTCCCCTATGACCCAGCATTCCCACTTTTGGGCATTTACCCAAATGATCACAAACAAGACCATACTAATGCTAACAGCACAACTATGTTTATTGCAGCATTATTTACCATAGCTAAGATATGGAACCAACCCAGATACCCCTCAGTAGATGAATGGATCGAGAAAATGTGGTATAGATATACAATGGAATTCTATGACTCCATCAGAAAGAATGACATTGCCCCATTTGTTAGGAAATGGAACGACTTGGAAAAAAAATATATTAACTGAAGTAAGCCAGGCCCAAAGAAACATAGGTCTCATAGTTTCCCTTATTTGCAATAACTAGTATATGTCTGAGTCAAGCAGAAAAGGTCAGATAAGTTGATGTTAGGCAAAAACCCCTGTCTACTGTATTTTATTTTCACAATAAAAAAAAAAGACCTTACTGTAAAGAATACTGGATATTTGTCAGGAAAAAATGGAATATTTTAATAACTAAAATCAAAGTACATATAAAAACAATGGAGAAATTATTTAGGAAGAAGTCAGAGCATGTATGAGGGCATTTCAGATTGAAAGGATTTTGAATAACTGTATACATTTCTTAGCATGTCACTTGAAAGACAGTAATATATTATATTCCTTAAATAATAATCATTTTAGATACTCTGCTGCACAATCCTCAACTTCAATAAAAATAGAAGCCCATTTTGGACTTCTTTAGTCCTTTATAGATCTACATGCATGTCTGTATGGAGAAATATAATGAGTAAATATCCACTGGAGAATCTAATATGTGTGTACTTTCTACTGAGACATTCATGGGCTAATTAGGGGCTAATTCCAATTTAAATTATTGTTCTCAGATTATTTAGAAAAAGCATTAATTCAGCTTATTCTGCCAAATGCAACAAACAGTTTTGAAGACAAAAGGAAAATATTATAGTTATTATGGAGGTGTGAACTATCACATACCACTTAATTAAACCAGTGCGAAGCACTATTTTTTGCTTACTCTTAACAGCAATTTAAGAGGCCATGCACTCTTTTCTCACCTAGAAGCAAAAACCATGGAAGTTGTTGAGTAGTTAGGTCCTATGAAGACACTTTGTTGGGTATTTTTAATGGCATTATTAGTGGAAATGTCTTTTTCAAAAACTATTATCTATCAATTCAGAAAGTACAAAGCAGTCATCAGGTGTATGTCTTTAAAGGAAGCCGAGTTATTTCAAGGACTATGCTAGTCAGTATGAAATAATTTAGTGTTTTACAGTAAAGGTAAGATTTTCTTCTCTTTAAACACATCACTGAACAATGACTGAGGAGGAGAATTACTATTTAGAAGGTAGAATCCATAGTTAAATTAAAAATGTAAACAGAGTGAATAGTTTTTCGGTAACTATTGGAGGTATAAAATACTCAATCCCTGCCAATCTAGAAAGTCTATGTTTAAACTAATGACTTCTCAAGGGTTCAAGCACAGATATTTTCTACCATGATGGAATGAATTTAGTGAGCAAATTATTCTAAGTTCTCTTCCATCAATAGTAAAGTGATGATAGTAAGGAGTACTTATCTCACCATTCCTGAGAGGTTTCATAAATATTAAAGTAATTTTAGGGTCATCCCTTATTTGCAATATCTAGTATATGTATGAGTCAAGCAGAAAAGGTCAGATAAGGTGATGTTAGGAAAATGAACCCTAAGATATATATTCAAATGTTTTTTTTTCTTTCATGCATTTGTTTCTAACGCATTTATAAGATTATTTCTTTGTTGCTTTGTATGTCCGTCCCCCACAGTATAACCCCTGCTTTCACTGTATTTGATGTCGGTATAATTTGTGGAGGGGAAGGGGAAAAACAAATCGTTTAAATAAGGATACAGGTGGACCCGTTGCAACAATAAGAAGCACACATTGTCATGTGGAAAACGAACTTTACAACTTTGTTGGGGGGGGGGAGATTGGGGGGGTGGGGGAGGGGAAGGCTGGGAAGGGATGGGAAGGGGAAACAAAGGGGGAGGCTACAATGCTTGATAAGAAATGTACTCATTATCTTGCCCATGTAATTGTAACCCCTCTGTACAGTATTTTCACAATAAAAAATAAAGAAAGAAAAAAGAAAAAAAAACAATGAATTGTTGATTCATGTTAACTGCTATCAAGTTTGTGATGTACTTAAAAATTAATTTACATAGGTAGATCACGTCATAAAATTCTTAAAGAATATTTTGGCACAATGATCTACCTTATTTTTATTAGTTTATTTAGATTTTAAAATTTTTCCTTGGAATAATAATCTTACATTGTGAATCTGTTGGAT